TAGACTGGTGGCCAGATGGTTATTTACACTGCAGCCCCTTTATACCACTCTGGCAGTGTAAGTGGGCCTTAAAGTGCATATAAATGTATGTTTATACCTATTTTAAACACCTTTCCAGTTACATACAGCGAGTGATGTAAAGAAGGCTTAGTGTAAATGAAAATTAGACTATGTATATATAAATAAATAAATAAATAAATAAGATGTGCACACATTCTGTAAAAATGATCTGTAAAAATAGGTGATTACTACAAAATACCAAAAAAGAATTATCATAAACTCTTTAATATAGTAGCTGCATGATATTGTTATGCTGAATGGGCAGTGATATTATTATATTCAACCTAGCTATAACACTTTAAAATGGACTTTCATATGAAAATGCTCTTCTCTCTTTCAATTCATTTATGGTGATATGACAAATCTTACTGACCATTGCATTTTTATACTTATAATAGCAGCCAGAACATAAGCTTTTAAATATAATATTCCATGGATACATTCAGAACTTGAGTCATCTCTTGTCCTTTAACAGGAATAAATAAATGAATACAATGTGCTTGCTCTAAAGTAACTTGACTTCATACATTCTGAAAAGTTTATTACCTGTTCGGTAATATTACTTTCTAGGAGATATTATACCCACCTTGACAATAAGGAAGAAACCAAATCAAACACTTAATAAATTTCAGACATTTCGCTATGAGGCTTCAAGTACACAACAGTCCTATTAAAAGATCAATAAGAGTGTACTAACAAAGGGTCAGTATTGTGTTCTTTGGTTTAAAAATGTGTTTACGATGAATGTTTTAGACAATTCTCTGTGCTAGATAAGGGCAGCAGAATTTCCACTGTGCCATGCCCTTCAACAATAATGGATTTGTTTCTGTGGTTTTGGAGGAGAATGGAGTTTCCAAATATGTGCTAACAACAAATAAAAACAAATGTTTAAGCAATATAGCCTTGGTTTATTCCCATTCATGGAGGGAGGGAGGTTCTGTTCAAAATTGGAGGAGGGCAGGTTGTGTTGGCACTGCTTCCTCCCCTCCCCAAGCTTCTGAGGCTATGTCTATACTACCACTTATGTCAGCAAAACTTAGGTCGCTCAGGGATGTGAATATTCCAACCCCCAAGCAACATAAGTTACACTGGTATAAGCAACGGTGTGCCCAGCACTATATTGGCAGGAGAAGCTCTCTCCCGTCGGCACAGAGCGACTAGATCTTACAGCGGTGCAGCTGCAACGGTACAGCTGCGCCGCTCTAAGCTCTCTAGTTTCAACATGGCCTGACAGAAGAGGAGATTTTTAAATGGTGACTGATGCACCATAGAAGCATTAGCAGCCAGGACAGCCTGAGTTAAGTCTTGAATTAGCTCTTGCTACCCTAGCAACACGACCTCTCCAGCTACCACTGCTCATTTGGGGAGCAACTTGGGACACTCAACCAGAGTTGCAGGTTCTGGGAACACATGCACTATTAACTCCTTTCCTGTAACCAGGCACCCTGAATCTTGGGGTATGTTAGCATAAGACAGTGTAACCCAAAACTTAATCAAACCATATTTGTTATTCAATTAATTATATACGGTGTTTAACAAGTTTTAGTTCATACAGGCCTTCCCACTTATTGCATTCCATGTCCGAAGCTCAGCCATCTTAGCATCTGAGAACTAGTCACAGCCTCAAAAAAATGATACCACAGGTTACTACTCAACCCTCAGTAGAGAAGAGGAGATAGTGGAAAATGCAGGTCAGAAATACAAAATACCATCGCATATCTTTATTAGAAAACTCTCCCAGAGAAGAACTTTGCGATGGTCTCTCATACATCCATCATTTTATAGTAAAACTCCAAACCAAAAAGTCTCACCCAGTCCAGAACCATCACCCAACCCCAATAATGGAGGCAAGAAACTGTGCCCAGTTCACAATCATCTTAAGATTGTTCTGATTTATGTTCCCACGGGTTATTTTTACGTTGTGGCTTAACAGCTTGTTTGAGAAGGGGAGTATTGGATTGTTTCAACAGTTTGTAGTGATGATTCCACCACTCTTCACTGCAGACTGATGATATAGATACATCAGGACTGGATCTGCGATCACTTACACAGGTTTTATACCTGTGTGATTCCACTAGCTTTAATGGAGATATTCTGGAATTATTCTGGGCCAAGTCTCACACATCTAGCATGACACTCACTCATTTGCAAGCTCTGTCATGCAGTCCTGCAGCCCAGCCTAATCCTCATGCATCTAGCTGGGCTGCAGGGATGGGCCTGCAACAGCCTCTCCTGGACTCTGGGGCTCCTTTGATGCCTCTCTGCAGGCAGCCAGGAGGCCTCTATATTTACCTTTTCTCTGATTCTCTTGCTGGGTCTGAGTGGGGAAGGAGAAGGCAACAGTGGCAAACAGCAAGAGGCTGAACAATAGTCCCAGATACCCCTACCCAGCAGCTAGCTGCCCCCGGACTTCTTAACCTCCAGAACTCACCCATCTACCTATTGTTGAACCACCAGATGACCCAGAACCAACCCACTTGAACCTTGCGCATCCACCAATATATCCCTGCACTCCCAGACACCCTCATGCACCCATTCACCTACCCCAATCACAGTTGCCAAGATTTGTGCAGTAACATATTTCTATCATTACATTTACAACCACTTCTGGGCCACTATACACTGCCAGTGTGGTGTAAAAGTTCTTAAAATAAATGAGAATCTGACCCACAGTGTAATTTAATAATACACATTAGTTCATCTACACTATATTAAACAACGAGATGGCCAAAGACAGGGACCTGTTTGTGTGTATGGGACTGATGCTCTTGCATAAATGATTACTTTTGTAAAGAATAACATGAAGAAGTTTACTAAGCACAAGTAGCCTAGTGACCACACAAACCAATTGAAAAACAGCTAATATTAGTAGGAATTTGGATTTCAATATTTGCTAAGTATCCACCTGTTTGGGATGATAAAGTATGGTCTAATGTGGTTTCTGGCAGCAACCACCAATTTTTGAGCCAGTTGCTACCATTTTTGGTAGCACACAGAAAAACAAATATGGATACCCTGTAAATATAGAGATCTATAAATTCTGGAGAATGGCATCCTAAGAGTGGAGCTGAAATTTGATACAAAAGCTGCCATTATTAAAATGTCACAAGAAGATACTATAGAAAATAAAAGTCAAAATATTCCTTGATAAATTATAGATCACTATTCCGACACTGAAAAATGTGCATGTTTATAGCTCACAGATTGGCACATCTGCTCTAGATATCAAAGGGCTTTGAAAAGACTGTCATTATATTTAAACTGTATAGTAAAACTTCTGAAATGCATTAAAAAGAGCAATGTTCATAATTCTTAAGACTGTTGAAACATATATGTTCAGATGCTTTCTTGTCCGCTGGCACGAGAAAGAAGGTAGACCCTGTAACCTTGTTATAGTGTAAAGTCCTATGAGCCATGAAAAAATTCAAACTGCATCAGTAAATTCAGTACAACATGGGGAGTATTTTTCCTAGGTGCATGCTTGAAATACGAGATACACGTTGCACCACTTAAACTATACATTATCCTTAACTCACTTTTAGATTTTTTTTAAATGATGTAATTGTGAAATGGGCTCTCTCTGAAATTGTAAATGGCAGGAAATAGATAGTGAGGAATGAGTTTAAGCATAAACAGCTTAGCCCTGATTCATGAATTTTTTGTCAAAGCCTATGGTGAAGCCCTTGGACCTATTACTTTGATAGGAAACCATATCTGTGGTCAGTGATATTTCAGTATTTCAAAGCAAGACCAGGGAAAACCTTGGCAAATCTGACTCTCTTTATCTGTGAGTTTTGGTTTCATTTGAACTTGAAACTCTAAGCGAAATTCAAGGAATGAACTGAAACCTTAAGAAATGGCTTCCTTAATTCTATGCAAACCAACCCATCTGTACAGGTCTAGGTATGACATACCTTGTAACAAAGAGCTCGCAAAATTCCAGTTTGGGAATTACTACTTACCTGTGTAATAACTCCCTGTAGTTTCAGTTTAAAATATTCTTTCTTTCCTGTCCTAAAACATTGTGTAGTATTGTTATTCACTATTATAAGTAGCTACATTTCACCCGAAGGATTGCTATTCTTCTGTGATGGATGAAGTGATTCATGCTTTCATTATATGTGAAGTGATTCATTCATTTCCAAAGAGTGAAACATGCTGGAACTTTCATTATAAGCCCCTGCTTTCACATGCTCGTAACTTTTGTGAAAATTTCTCATTTAGTCTGAATTTTTCCATGCTGGGTCTCAGCCCTGTCTCTGGAAAGTTTGAGAGACAATCACTTTAGCTGTTTGAGTCATATTAAGACTCTTTAGCTCAATAACTAAAAGAAAAGAAAAAAAATCACTGTAAAATCTGCATGTAAATAATGAGGAGTTGTAGGTGTGGGGTAAAAAATACAAATCTTAATTTAAAAAAAACAAATGACTGAAAAAACACAGATGAACCTGCTGGATTTTATTATTTTTATTTTTCATTACTAACTATGGTAGTAAATGTAACCAACTTCTATATCTGAATAGGAGTGAGTTAAAAATACTAGGAGAACCTTGTTCCAGATGTCTAGCTGAGCTGGTGTACCATGTAGTCAATGTTGAGAAGGGTGTAAGGTGTCTTTAAGTCACACCCTGCTGCAATGGCAACTACATATTGCCAGAGACAAAGCAAAGCAGTCAAATAAATCAGGGTGAAGATTTGGCCCCTGAAGTTTTGCATTGTCTGACTTTTTGTTAAAATATGTAACTTTAAAAAAAAAGAATCTAAAAGTATAAATGATAGTTTTTAGCACTGGATTGATCCAAACTTAGTTTTAGTAACATGAGCAAACACTCCCACACCCAGGGTCTACAACAAATCCACCAAATTCATATGTTTCTTTATCTTAATTTTGTAGTTAAAAAACATCTCTATTTGAAAACCAGAAGAGAAAGGCTACTTACTGTGTTAATCCACTGCATAAACATGACGCATCAAAAAAAGTCTTCAGAAATGTCCTCTCATGTAGCCAGAGACTGCCACATAGTTCTTTATAAATCAGTATGAATAACCTGAATTGCACCAGAAATAAAAGGGTCAGGACAGTTCACGGAGAACTGATGTAACAGGTTCCTTGTGGCTAATACTACCTAGCAAGAAGGCAGTCTCAATCTGTACCAGATGCATCTGCCTAGTGGTCTTACAAGGTAGCTCCAGTAGAGTGCATTGTAATAATCTAATTTGAAAGTCCAAAAGGAATGAATTATTGTGGACAGGTTCTGCTATGAAAGAATAGATCAAACACTCAGCCAATGATGAGTCTCAGTCAGCTCACTCACATCCAAATCCCAATCGCAACCATCTGCTACTTCAAGTCCAGTGTTTTCTCCGTAGCATAGACAGGCCTGAGACTAACTGAAAGGGAAGGAAACAATCTGGAGATTCCACAGTTGATTTACCAAAGACTACCTAATAATCTTCACCAAAAAGGTAATATTAGGGGATGGGTGATAAGTAGCGAGACTGCTACTGGCATGACAAGTTTTCATCAGAAACTACTATTTGAGGAACTTCAACCTTACCAACAACCTCAATCAACAGTGCTTCTCCGAAGCAACATTCATTTACAGGAAGCACAAAAATTATCAGAATAAATCTATGCATCTATAACCACTAATTTCTGCAACATATCAATAAACATTTTGTAAAAGTAGGTCATTTTAGGATAATTACAGACACTATTGATTTCGTATTAGAAGCCAGTAATGTAAATGTCCCGATTATGTCTTTAGTAGAATTTTTTGAAAAGCAAATCAGCTGACATTACAAATAAAGGAAGTTAATTTAATACTCATGTTCACCCAAATGATCCATAACTATGACTTGGAACAGTGATTCTTATTCATATAATTTCTTTAATTAATGAGATACTGATATTTGTTATATCTGTTTAATTTGATTGTATACATTATATATAAATGTTGACTTTTTAAATATGCAGATATGTGAATCTTAACATCCTAGACTGCAATGAAAAACATGAAAGACCACATTCTGCTTTCTATAATCAAACTGAACTCCAATTTATTTATTCATTCACATTTGTTCATTTTACCTACACTAGGCTCTAACGCCTGGATCCACAAAAGAACTTAGGTGTTGCAATGCTTAGAGTTGTGGCACCTAATTTTTAAGCACCTAGAAAATCACAGGAACAATACTGCAATACAGAATTCTTGGCTACCGAATCATTCTCACTCTCTCTTTTTCTTTCCTTCTGGCCCAATGACAATTTAAGTATTTCTCCACAGTGGGACACTCATTGGGGGCGGGGGGAAGCGGGAGAAGAAGAAGAGAGAGAGAATGACTCTGTAGGCCCATGGTTACAAGGCACCCATCTGGGAATTGGAAGACCCAGGGTCCAGTCCCCCTGCTCCAATCACTCTTTTGTTGTTTATCCACAGTGGAACAATTTCAACGGGAGAAATGTAAGGAGCCCCAACCACATTGGACTAGCCCAGGGGTTCTCAAACTGGGGGTCGTAACCCCTCAGGGGGTCACGAGGTTATTACCTGGGGGGTCGTGAGCTGCCAGCCTCCACCCCAAACCCCGCTTTGCCTCCAGCATTTATAATGATGTTAAATATATTAAAAAGTGTTTTTAATCTATTGGGGGGGTCACACTCAGAGGCTTGCTGTGTGAAAGGGGTCACCAGTAAAAAAGTTTGAGAACCACTGAACTAGCCCATAGCTCAGTGCTTAGAGCAAACTCCAGAGAGATGGGTGACCCCTGTTCAAATCCTTTCCCCACCACTCTGAGAAGGGGGAATTGAACGTGGGTCTCTCAGGTTCCAGGTAACTGTGTTAACAACTGGATTAGTTATAGGGTGAAACCACCACCTTCTTCAACCAGATACTGAATGGGGCCTATCCTGGTAGGCAGCCTCTGAGCACGCCTACTGGATCGGGCCCTGCAGGTCACTTGGGTGGCCGAATGGTTTGTGAATAGCTCTGGGGCTTAGGGCAGGAGAGAGGAGTCCTGATGCCTAGAGGGCAGCAGCAGCGCACACGTGCAGAGGCAGAAACTTGGGTGCCAAGGGAACTTTTACCCTAAAAACATAGGCACTGAGTGAATTCAGGATTCAGAGGGAGTTTTGTAGATCACCGGGGATCCAAACCTGGGATTTAAGTGCCTAACTCTCATATTTAGGTGCCTAAGTCTGGGGTTTAGGAGCCTAAGTACTTTTGTGGATCTGGTAATTAGTACATTACAAAGCATATTAATATTTGTTTTCACTGTTGTAGCCTCTAGAGGCTCGATCAGATTGGGGCTCCATTATGCCAAATTCTGTACGAGCACACAGGAAGAGTAAATCCCTGTCCTGGAGAACTGCAGTCTAAATTAACACCAAGTTTGACAAATTAGTGTAACAAATTAACACCAGGGCTGAGGAAGGGTGCAGGACGGTGACAGAAACCCCTGGTTATGTAGACTAGCTATGTTCACAACTTGCAGGTTTCAGTTATGTTTAAAGCTATACATAATCAAAAAATATTAATGATGTCAATAATATAAAACAAACATTAAGATCACAAACAAAAGGCCTCAGAGGACAGGTAGGTATTTTAGTACGTCCCAAAGATCACCAAATCCAGGATCTGGTGAACTCTGAGAAGGGAGGGGAATTCTATAGCCATAGTCAGACGTGATTGTGTAGGTTCCATTAACAGAAATATTCAAAAGAAGAGCAAACTTTATTTTTCATTTGATAGCAACATCTCGGAAGGACAGATTACTATCTAAAGGTTAGTGCTCCACCTTTTCTACAGCTTTATAAATGATACAATCGAGAAATGACATGTTTACATAACTATAATGCCTTTAGCTTTTTCAATAATATAGAAAGCAAATGGAACATCCTAGTTATGAACTTCCTGTGGACAACTGCATAAGCAACACTTCAATAATGTGAAATAAAATTATTACTTACAGCTATATTCTACCCTTATTTCCATTTTGGAAAGCTCAAGGGAATAATAGGCTCTTTTTTGTACATTGGACAGTAACTTTGCTAACAATCATCCATTTTTTCCAATAGCACAGTTACATAATCCATGAGTTTATTCATTAAAAATGTGTTCTCAGAGTCATTTCTTGTGGCTAGCTCCCAAGGTTGGGCCATAGAACTATATATATAAAAAAACCATTTGTTTTTTACTGTGCCTCTCCTACAATAAACTCGCCCAAGCTTTGAGAAGAATATTATTTTACTGGTGTAAGAATGACAGTAAAGACAATTTGACCACACTAAACTATATGTCCTAAAGAAATACGTATCATAGTTAACCACGATTTTCCTGGTGATCACTTATATTATATATGCTATGAAAATAGTATCTTAGCAAACCTTGAACTTTATAAAGATTTAAGGTTCTGAATTAAAGCTTTGGAGAACATACTTTTTTTCTTATCAGCATACAAATAGATAATAGCTTGTTTTTGGCAGGGATTCTTTAAAGCTAAAGTACTTTCACCCTCAGGGTATCATACTGTCATTTGTTTTTATTTTCAAAATGAAAACAAATGGCATTGTAACTCCTAAGGGTGAAAAAGACTTCAGTCTGGTTTTTTTCTCTGCACTCTCATCTATTCATTTTGAGTTAGATGGAATATAGATATAGTTTTTCCCCTTTGGCTTCTATTGCCACGAAACGTATTCACTAGTTGTACAGTAATTAACAGCTCTTGACTGGAAAACTGCCAACATGTACAACGTGACACTCATCCTTTGAACACTAACAAAGTGCATAAGTAATTTATGTTGGATTAAATATCCCTAACAGGGACCCTTAAGTAACCCAATCACTTTAAACAGGCTCCACATGTATGCTCCTGTGCAGTGAAAATGTCAGACAGTGATAACCCACTAATAGCACAATTCTAACTATATTCCAGCCATTAGCATTTTATGACATCAATCCTCATTAAACCTGGCAAAGAATAAGATACTAATGTTTCCCAATTTTACAGCCAAGGTGGAAAAGAAATGGAGAAAATGTAGACAGGTGCTGTCTCCCAAAAAGGATTAACATTTTTTTAAAACATGGTTGCAATTTTCTGTTAGTACCTTTGTTTGCATTGAAAGAGAGACAACAAAGAGGTAAGGGCTACAAGGACCTCAATGGAATCCAGCCAAGAGTGAAAGAAAAGACTGGTATTTCAGCCATTGTGCTCCCTGCTAAAGCACTGTGCCAACTCATCTTCCAACCCATTATATGAAATTTAATTTAACCTGCTATGCAATTAATTCAGATGTTCAGCCTATTTTTTTCATGGCAGAATCCCTCACACAATGCCTTATTTAAATATTAATCAGTCCTCTTTCAATTAGGACTAATTTGCTTCACAGGGTTTCTCTCATCTTCTGATTGCAGGAAAATGGAGGTAACTTGCAACGTTTGAGGATAATTAACATGGTATTTTTATAATACTGATACATCAAATGGGACCTTAATGAACCCCGCTGATTCCATTTAGTAAAGCATGCCTCAAAGTTATAATCAAGAGGAAAGCCATTGCCATCTGTTTAAAATACTAAGGAGCACAATTTAAACACAGAACAGTTATTTCTCTAAACTGTCTATTGTAGGGTCTACAAAAGTCATTTTTTCATACAAACTAATTGCACAGCATTTAAATTTGAACCTTTTATTACATATATCCAAACAGTGGCATCCTAAAATTCAGAGGCCCTCCTTAATTAAATGTTGACAACCACAGAGATAAGTAATGTTTGTTAATGTTAATTTTTAAAACATGCTGTGCAGTTGCTGCAAAGGCAATACAAGCAAGTTTTACCACATTTTAATGAACATAATATTTAATGTACTTTTGCATAACATCCAGAGAACATATTTTTAATAAAATCTATTCCCAGCCTTTGTAAAACTGAAAAATAAAGGCATATGTTGTTCATTTGTTAGTTACTAAGAAAGGCAAACAAGTTAACATTTACACATGACCAGTTGCTCACAAAATGTTCCATCTGCTGCAAAAAAGGTCGAAGTTCATC